GCAATGGCACGATCTTGGATCACTGTAACCTCCGCCTCCCGGGTTCAAGCGATTCTCCTGCCTCAGCCTCCCAAGTAGCTGGGATTACAGGCATATGCCACCACGCCCAGCTAAATTTTTTTGTGTTTTTAGTAGAGACGGGGTTTCACCATTTTTGGCTATAATGGTCTCAACCTCTTGACCTTGTGATCCACCCACCTCGGGCCTCCCAAAGTGCTGGGAATACAGGTGTGAGCCACCTCGAGCGGGACCCTGTGTGCTTTTCAGTTTAAGACATGATTACCTTTATCTTACCAAAGATCTTTTTTTTTTTTTTTTTAAGATGGGGTTTCGCCATGTTGGTCAGGCTGGTCTCGAATTCCTGACCTCAGGTAATCCTCCCACCTCAGCCTCCCAAAGTGTTGGATTACAGGCGTGAGCCACCGTGCCCGGCTTATTTTACCAAAGATTTTATCTTTTGTTGACTTAAAAATAGTGATAGAAATACAGACTAATGGGGAATATTGTTTTAAAAGAAAGAATTTTCAGTTGGTAAATATTGATAAAGATTAGTAATAATAGGTACAATGATGGCTAATTAACTTTGTGCATTATAGTTAAAGAATGTGTTTAGTACATTATATAATACTAAAGAAATAAGGGATTTTTCTATTTATTTATTTATTTATTTTTGAGGCAGTCTCCTTCTGTCACCCAGGCTGGAATGCAGTGACGCAATCTGAGCTCACTGCAACCTTTGCCTCCTCGGTTCAAGTGATTCTCCTGCCTCAGCCTCACGAGTAGTTAAGACTATAGGCATGAGCCACCATGCCTGGCTAATTTTGTATTTTGAGGTCTCACCATGTTTCCCAGGCTGGTCTCAAACTCCTAAACTCAGGCAGTCTACCCACTTTGGCCTCCGAGAGTGCTGGGATTATAGGCTGTGCTACTGCACCCGGCCTGTTTTTTTATTTTTTATTATTTCAATAGGTTTTTGGGAAACAGTTGGTTTTTGGTTACATAGATAAGTTCTTTAGTGGTGATTTCCTAGATTTTGGTGCACCCATCACCTGAGCGGTGTACACTACCCAATGTGCAGTCTTTTATCCCTCACCCACCTTGTACCCTTCCCCCTGAATCCCCAAAGTTCAATATATTATTCTTGTGCTTTTGCATCCTCATAGCTTAGCTGCCACTTATAAGTGAGAGCATAAGATATTTGGTTTTCCGTTCCTGAGTTAGTTACTTCACTTAGAATCATGGTCTACAATTCCATCCAGGTTGCTGGGAATGCCATTATTATTATTACTATTTTTATGACCGAGTAGTATTCCATCAGGTTTTCTTTATCTACCTGATTGGTGGGCATTTGTGGGGGTTCCATATTTTTGCAATTGTGAATTCTGGTGCTATAAATATGCGTGTGCAAGTGTCTTTTTTCATATAGTGACTTATTTTCCTCTGGGTAGATACCCAGAAGTGGGATCACTGGATCAAATGGAAGATCTACTTTTAGTTCTTTAAGGATTCTCCACACTGTTTTCTATAGTGTTATACTAGTTTTACATTCCTACCAGCAGTGTAAAAGTGTTCACTTTTTACCACATCCGTGCCAGCATCTGTTATTTTTTGAGTTTTTAATTATGGCCATTTCTGCAGGAGTGAGGCTGTATCACATTGTGGTTTTGATTTGCATTTCCCTCATAATTAGTGATGTTGAGCATTTTTTCATATGTTTGCTGGCCATTTGTATTATCTTCTTTTGAGAATTGTCTATTCATGTCCTTAGTCCCCTTTTTGCTTTAGGGTTCTTGGTCATGAAGTCTTTGCCTAAGCCAATGCCTAGAAGGATTTCTCCAATATTATCTTCTAGAATTTTTATGGTTTTAGGTGTTAGATTTAAGTCTTTGATTCATCTGAGTTGATTTTTTTAATAAGGTGAGAGATGAGGATCCAATTTCATTCTTCTACTTGTGGCTTGACAATTATCCCAGCACCATTTGTTGAATAGGGTGTCTTTCCCCCAGTTTATGTTTTTGTTTGCTTTGTCAAAGTTCAGTTGGCTGTAAATATTTGGCATTATTTCTGGATTCTCTGTTCTGTTCCGTTGTTCTGTGTACCTGTTTTTATACCAGTACTATGCTGTTTTGGCAACTGTAGCCTTACAGTACAGTTTGAAGCTGGGTAATATGATGCCACCAGATTTGCTCTTTTTTCTTAGTCTTGCTTTGGCTGTGTGGGCTCTTTTTTGTTTCCATATGAATTTTAGGATTGTTTTTCCTAGTTCCGTGAAGAATGATGATGGTATTTTGATAGGAATTCCATTGAATTTGTAGATTGCTTTTGGCAATATGGTCATTTTTCACAATATTGATTCTACACATCTGTGGTGTGGGATGTGTTCTCATTTGTTTGTGTAATCTATGATTTCTTTCAGCAGTGTTTTGTAGTTTTCCTTGTAGAGGTCTTTTACATCCTTGGTTAGATATATTCCTAAATTTTTTTTTTTTTACAGCTATTGTAAAAGGAGTTAAGTCCTTGATTTGATTCTCAGCTTGGTTGCTGTTGGTGTATAGCAGTGCCACTGATGTGTGTACGTTGCTTTTGTATTCTGAAACTTTACTGAATTCGTTTATCAGATCTAGGAGCTTTTCAGATGAGTCTTTAGGGTTTGCTAGGTATATAATTATATCATCAGCAAACAGCAGCAGTTTGACTTCCTCTACTGATTTGGATGTCCTTTAATTCTTTCTCTTATCTGATTGCTCTGGCTAGGACTTCCAGAACTACATTGAAATAAAAGTGAAAGTGGGGCTGGCAAAGTGGCTCACACCTGTAATCCCATCACTTTGGGAGGCCACGGCAGGCAGATCATGAGGTCAAGAGATGGAGACCATCCTGGCCAACATGGTAAAACCCTGTCTCTACTAAAAATACAAAAATTAGCTGGACATGGTGGTGTGTACCTGTACTCCCAGGTACTCAGGAGGCTGAGGCAGGAGAATCACATGAACCCAGGAGGTGGAGGTTAAAAAAAAAAAAAAAAAAAAGAAGTGAAAGTGGGCATCTTTGTCTTGTTCTAGTTCTCAGGGGGAATGCTTTTAACTTTTCCCCGTCCAATATAATGTTGGCTGTGGATTCATCATAGATGGCTTTTATTACCTTACATTGTGTCCGTTCTCTGCTGATTTTGCTGGGGATTTTCTTTTTTTTCCAGACAGAGTCTTGTTCTGTTGCCCAGGCTGGAGTACAGTGGCGTGATCTTGGCTCACTGCAACGTCCACCTCTGGGGTTCAAGCGATTCTCCTGCCTCAGCCTCCTGAGTAGCTGGGACTACAGGTACATGCCACCACACCCAGCTAATTTTTGTTTTTAGTAGAGGTGAGGCTTCACCATGTTAGCCAGGATGGTCTTAATCTCTTGATCTTGTATGTGATCCACCTGCCTCAGACTCCCAAAGTGCTGGAATTACAGGCATGGGCCACCACACTTGGCCTGCTGAGGGTTTTAATCATAAAGAGATGCTGGATTTTGTCAGATGCTTTTTCCGCATCTATTGAGATGATCATGTGATTTTTTTGTTTTTGATTCCGTTTGTGTGGTATATCATATTTATTGACTTGTGTATGTTAAGCCATCCCTGAATCCCTGGGATGAAACCTACTTGGTCATTGTAGATTTTCTTTTTGACATGCTGTTGGATTTGGTTAGCTAGTATTTTGTTGAGGATTTTTTTTTTTTTTTTTTAAATACAGAGTCTCACTCTGTCTCCCAGGCTCGAGTGCATTCTGCTCACCGAAACCACCACCTTCCGGGTTCAAGCAATTCTCCCTGCCTCAGCCTCCCCAGTAGCTGGGATTACAGGTGCCTGCCACCATATTTTTAGTAGAGATGGGGTTTCACCGTGTTGGCCAGGCTCCTGTCAAACTCCTGACCTCAGGTAATGCACCTGCCTCGGCCTCCCAGAGTGCTGGAATTATAGGCATGAGCACCCAGTCAAGGATTTTTGTATCTACATTCATCAGGGATATTGGTCTGTTCCCTCCCTCCCTCCCTTCCTCCCTCCCTCCCTGGTTTTTGGTATTAGGGTGATACTGGCTTCATAGAATTATTTAGAGAGGATTCCCTCTTTATCTTTTGCAATAGTTTCAATAGGATTGGTATCAGTTCTTTGAATGTCTGATAGAATTCAGCTGTGAATCCATCTGGTCCTAGAGCTTTTTTCGTTAGTAATTTTTTTTATTATTACTGTTTCAGTCTTGCTGCTTGTTATTGGTCTGTTCAGAGTGAGTTTTTATTTCTTCGTGGTTTACTCTAGGAGGTTCATATATTTTCGGGAATTTATCTGTCTCTTTTAGGTTTTCTTTTTTTTTGTTTGTTTTTTTTTTTGAAACGGAGTTTCACTCTTGTTACCCAGGCTGGAGTGCAATGGCGTGATCTCGGCTCACCGCAACCTCCGCCTCCTGGGTTCAGGCAATTCTCCTGCCTCAACCTCCTGAGTAGCTGGGATTACAGGCATGCGCCACCATGCCCAGCTAATGTTTTTTTTGTATTTTTAGTAGAGACGGGGTTTCACCATGTTGACCAGGATGGTCTCGATCTCTCGACCTTGTGATCCACCCATCTCAGCCTCCCAAAGTGCTGGGATTACAGGCTTGAGCCACCGTGCCCGGCTCTTTTAGGTTTTCTAGTTTGTGTGCATAAAGATGTTCATAGTAGCCTTGAATGATCTTTTTTATTTCTGTGGTATTGGTTGTAATATCTCCCATTTCATTTTTAATTGAGCTTATTTGAATTTTCTGTTAGATTTTCCTGTTTTTGAGTGAATTATGTTTGAGATCTCTTAGCTCCCTTGATTAACCCATTTATCCCAGACATTGCAAATTTTTTTGTGAAAAATCAGACCTTAGGCTGAGTGTGGTGGCTCACACCTGTAATCCCAGCACTTTGGGAGGCTGAGGCAGGCAGATCACCTGAAGTCAGGAGTTTGAGACCAGCTTGGCCAACATTGTGAAACCCCGTCTCTACTAAAAATACAAAAATTAGCTGGGCGTGGTGGCAAGTGCCTGTAATCCCAGCTACTAAGGTGGCTGAGGCAGGAGAATTGCTTGAACCTGGGAGGTGGAGGTTGCAGTGAGCTTAGACTGTGCCATTGCACTGGGCAACAAGAGTGAACTCCGTCTCAAAAAAAAAAAAAAAATCAGAATCAGACCTTGGCAATGATCTTGAGCAGTAGGATGTAAATTATGCCCAGAAGCTTAGTGTTCCAATAATAGAACACTAGGCATAAATGGGTTAATGCCTGGTAACATCAAGTTAATATACATTGGAGTGAAAATGAAGCTTGATTCTCATCTGGCTATATTTCTTATAGCCAATAGACTCCCCTCAATGGGCCGTTATCTTGCGGAATGGAAGTTTCCACAGTTCTTGACTCTAGTAATAAGTGGGTATTTTTGTGCCATCTGCATGAGAATCAGTGATGGTTTTTCACTGCCTTTTTTTTTTGCCATTTTCTTCATATTTCCATGCCAGTTAGCATGGCCTTACCTATTCTTTGTTTGCAGTTGCCATTTCTTTTTCTTTCTTTTTTTGCTTTTTTGAGACGGAGTTTCACTCTTTTTGCCCAGGCTGGAGTGCCAATGGTGGGATCTTGGCTCACTGCAACCTCTGTCTCCGGATTCAAGCTATTCTCCTGCCTCAGCTTCCTCCTGAGTAGCTGGCAGTCATGCACCACCACACCCAGCTGATTTATGTATTTTTAGTAAAGGTGGGGTTTCTCCATGTTGGTCAGGATGGTGTTGAACTCTCAACCTCAGGTGATCCACCTGCATGGGCCTCCTAAAGTGCTGGGATTATAGACGTGAGCCACCACACCTGGCCTTGCAGTTGCCATCTCTACCATGTGGCTAACTTCTCTGAGATTTGTAATGGTTCACTTTACTGATGACGTGAAATCCAAGCTGAAGCTAGTAAGTTAGCCTATCTGTGCCTCTTCATAATTTCTTTATCATCGTTTCTCCTGATGAGATTCTCTCATTCAGATGTTGAATTAGCTGATCTGACACCACTGTTTTCACACATTTGTTTATCTGTCTCACTTTTCTCACGTGCCTTCCCACATATTTCTACTTGCCAATGCCATTACCCAAATACCTAACTTCTTACATTTACAAAAACTGTGAGACTGCAGGAACTTTGAAAAACATCAGTGTTTATCCCAGTGTCACTAAGCAAAAGGAGCTTGCCGCCCAGTGTACCAGAAGCCTGTACTATGACATTATGAGAAAATTTTCTCCGAAACTCAGTGAAGGGAGTCTCCTAGCTATGAGAAATATAGCTAATGAGAATCAAGCCACTGGGTTTTTGAGTATTTTCTCAAAAACCAAGTGTCGTACTATTGGCTTTCTTTTTATTGCAAGTCTACTCACAAGGAGACAGGAGGTCAGCTCAAATCTATCTCTCTGTGCTGGCTTTACTGCAGTAACTTTATTAGAAAAGCTTTAGGGGGTGGATTCTGGGGTTAGCAGGTGATTGGTGTAAGGAAAGGAGAGGTCTGGAAAGTCCTCAGGCCTACACATTTATCTCTTCATGCCTCCTCATAGGTCCCACGTTCAAATTTGGGGGAAGTTAGTGTGAACCATGTGGTAGAAATTTAAGCTGTGACATCACCAGGCTTGTACTGCACAAACTCCAGTCAGCTATATTGATTCCAGCCAATTTTACCCAGTTGTGTTATCTTTCTTACAAGTGGGTGTTTCAGTTAAGTTGTTTCTTTTCTTATCTGCCATCCTGCAAACTCAAAAATTTGTTAGTCATTGGTGTCTTTAACTCTTGGGGTCATGGTCTCCACCAGTCCTGAAGGATCCCTGAGCCTTGGCATCCTCATTTTTTATAACATGATTTTGTATCTTTTGTAGGGTAGTGGAGTTGGGATCTGTATATTTGGGGTTGAATTGTTATGTGGCTAGGTGCTGTGGCTCACGCCTGTAATCCCAGCACTTTGGGAGGCTGAGATGAGTGGATCACTTGAGGTTAGGAGTTCAAGACTAGTCTGGCCAACATGGTGAAAACCCATCTCTACCAGAAATACAAAAATTAGCCAGGTGTGGTGGCATGAGCCTGTAGTACCAGCTATTCAGGAGGCTGAGGCATGAGAATTGCTCGAACCCCAGAGGCAGAGGTTGCAGTGAGCCGAGATCATGCCACTGCATCCTAGCCTGGGCAACAGAGCGAGACTCTGTCTCAAAAAATATATATATTTTTTTGTTTGGTATATGTGTTTTCCAGATCTTCAGTGAGTTCCTTGTAGGAATGGACCGTGTTTGTGACCTCTTCTTTCTCTGTGCCCTTACAGCAGTGGTTCTCTTATGCATGGTTCCTGACCAGCAGTATCAGTGCCCCTCAGAACTTGTGGAAATGAAGATTCTGGGCCCCTGCACTTGGAACACAGGAATATGAGACCGGGGCCCAGCAATCTGTGCGGTAACTAGCATGCCAGATGATTCTGATGGGCTAGTTTGAGAACCACTGCCTTATAGGAGCTAATAATAGGTTTACCTCTCAGCGAACACTCAGCTCACTGACTATTTAATTTGTAGACTATACTAATCACTGCTGATTCGTATCTTCTCATCATAGCTCCCATTTACTGAATAGCTACACTGGGCTAGGCACTGAACTAGGTGCTGTCACATGCATTGTCCCTTATGATTTCACAGATACTTTGCAGAAGATGGAGTGGCGCTTCCCACTTTATATAGAGATGAGAGGGGAGTCTCTTAGGGATATAGTGACTTGCCAAGACTGCACAGCTGGTTAAGTGGCAGCAGGAGATTTCAGCAAGGCTGTCAGACTC